AAACTCGTGGCTCTCCAGGCCGCTAGCCCTACTCGTATTGGCTCCCCAGGCCAATCTAACTCAAATTATTACACGACATACTCGCGGCTCTCCAGGCCGTTAGCTCTACTCATATTGGCTCTCCAGGCCAATCTAACTCAAATTATTACGCGACAAACTCGTGGCTCTCCAGGCCACTAGTCCTACTCGTATTGGCTCCCCAGGCCAATCTAACTCAGATTAATTACGCGACATACTCGCGGCTCTCCAGGCCGCTAACTCTACTAATATTGGCTCTCCAGGCCAAACTAACTCAAATTAATTACGCGGCATATTCGCGGTTCTGTAGGCCGATATAAAACTTACTTTAAGAAATAAGTAACCGGAATAATAGCCCCAAGAAACTGCACAAACTACGAAGATAAATATCACACAAAAGCACTAGGACCGCGTAAAATAAAAACGCTGAATCAGGTCCGTACACCAAAAGACTCCCCAGGCAAAAAAGATTAACCTACATAAAAGGCTAAAACCGATGAAACCAAGGGCGCTAAAGAACAACAAGACGTGAACAAAGAACCAAACCAACCAAGTGTGACGAGGGTAGAAATAAAAGCAAATCTGAAGGGTAAACTACTCGAGTAAAACTATAACTGCGCCCAAAAATACCATATAATAACGTATAAAATAGTAGTAGCGTGCATTAACAAAATCACAAGGTCCAGATAAACTGGCAGGCAAAAAATAGCACCAACACAAGGGAATAACAAACTCTTCCAGATAAAAGAACTGCAGCAAAATTACCTGCTGCTCGCTAACCGTTGGAACTACTGCTCCCGGCGCTTGCTGTTCAGGGTTTTGAACCCCATCTCCTGCTGCCGCTCCTTGCGCCACGTGACCTCTCAGTACAAACGATATCTTTGAAATTTTCTTTGCACCGGCAAAACGAAACAAATAGAATACAACCAACCTAAACGTTTTCCCACAATACCAGCCGTCAGCATAAGTCCTGTCTGTGTTTCATCAGCATGCGTAGAGCAATAGAATGTTGGCCTCTGGCTGGTGGCGGGGGTGGGGACAGCGAGAAAAATTCGTACTTCGAAGGTCCAAACGACGTTATGCAATGAGTCATGTGTGTTGACTTAATTTATACTGCTTGGTGATAATTTATTCAGTGAGAATAGTGTTCTGTTGTAAATTCATCGTATTTTTATGAATAGCTTAGATCAACTGCTTATTACATAGGCTCTTTCAACTGTGAATTGCATTATGAAATATATGAACGCGCGCGCTGATTAGCTGGCTACCGTGTTTATATCAAAGCACAAGGACACGCTCCCGCAAATATTTTACAAAAGCTATACAAAACYTATTGTTATGTCTCTGTACTGTGAAAAGCAAGAGAAACGCTCAGCTACGCCTCGGGTTCCTAAGCTTTTTATATTCATTAACTATATTTCTGTATTTATTCGTGAATATTATGAGTTTCTCTTGGGACCAAAAGAAAAAAGAAAAGAAAAGAAAAATAGAAATAGTCATTACTCTAAAGGAGGTAAGAAAAGGTTAGAATTAAAAAGAAGAAAAAATACAAAAAATATGTTTACCACAGATTAAAAAAAAAAAAAAAAAAAAAAGCTCAAACGATAACGAATACTTTCATAAATAAAAATCGTAAGCAAAGCGCATGTCTTCAAATCAACTAAGGCGTACCATCTTGATGCTTTCTAAAAGATGTACAAAGTTATTAAGTAAAAAAATAAAAATAAAAAAAATAAAAATTCACAGGTTAGAGAATAAGAAAAATTGATTGAAAAAAGTCCATGTAGTTTTTTGTTGATTAAGGGTTATAACTATAATACATTCTTTTACTCATTGGATATTCAGTACATCTATCTTACAATATCGTAATGCAAGAAAAGGGAAAACAAATTAAAACAACGACGCTATAGACGTCACTAGATGAACTACACCACAAACATGAAACTTAATAAAACACCTTGACGTTATATTCGTAGTTTTACTTTTTATCCTCAATATTAGCATAGAGATGCAGTTTCTGATATTCAGATTTTTGTGGATGATTTAAAAAGTTTAAAGCTTCGTATTTTGGAGGAAGCATTACAGGTTCTATTTTTGAAGCACTGTCATCCACCAACACGTGCACAGTCCTGTTTAGAGCCTGGTAGCATTGAGTGTTAGACAATAAAGTATTATCTTTAAGCTCTTGATAGTCATGGTGGATTTGTGACCCATGAACATCGTCGTCTCCTGTTCCTTGTT